CATATTTTGAATTTAATCAAATTAGTCCCTTTAATGTTATTTGTGTTTATGATGCATGCTTGTCTTTGATTTTGTCCATTTTAGCCCAAAAATTTAAAAATGTCACAATTTGGTCTATCCCTTTTTTAGGCTTGCCTATTAAGACTCAAACATAAATATGATGAATAAGTTGAATTAAAACCCCTAATGTTAAAGTATGCAACCGTATTTAAACGGAGGATTGTGAGGTGCGCGTGTGCCCTTCCTCACTCCTAACCGAACCCCCGAACCCCGATCTTTGCGCAGACCCGTTTTAGGTGACTTGTCCCACCTTATAATTTGGATGAGTGGCGACTCCCTTTTCTTATACATTTTTACACTTGATTTTTCAATTTATTTTGAAAAAATCTCAAGTGGTCGTCAACAGTTTGGCGACTCCACTGGGGACTGAACCCAAAATCTCTGGTTTCCATATTTTGGGTTCACGAGGGTCGAGCTAATACTTTAACTTTGGGGAATTTTTCAAACTTTGATTTTTCCTATGTTTGTTGAGTCTTTGTGGATTTTTGTTATTTATTGTATGTGCTTGTCGTGTGTTGCTTGTTGTTTGTTTGCTCAAAGTTTTAATGGTTGCTTTGATTGTTTCGCCTTTGAGTAGTTATCTTGCTACATCTTGACATGCATCATACCTTGCTAACATGTCCATGCATCATATCATCTCACATGCTCATCCATCATCGATATAACATGCTTATTCATCAAGCATCATGCCTATATGCCTATTTGCTTGTGTGTGGATATACTCACCTTTTGCACTTGGCTATGGAGTACTCAGTGAGTCTCTTCCCTCTTGTGCGATTATTTATATCTTGTTGCATGCTAAGTGTTGGTTGCTTTGTGTTACTAACCTTTTGCATTTGGCATGGGAGTACGAGGTGAGTCCCTTCCTGCTGTGTAAGTAGGTTTGTTTGTGAATGATATATTTGTTGAGTGCTTTACATGTTTTATTTGATTGCTGTGGGATATATGTTGCTATTTTTGTGGTTGCCACTATGCAGGTTATTGGAGTGTCATGCCCCTTTGCACACACTCACTCTCATTTTGCATTAGGTCTGTGTCGGAGGTGAACCTGACCTCTAGTCTGGAATCCTTATGAATCTGGCTTGGAAGAGCAATTCTTCTCGCTTTGAGGAGTAAGATCGGTTCCCGTTAGGTTGTTTCCATTAGTTAATACAACACTTGATGATGTAATATCATTCTGTGTATTAGCTTTTGGAAATATCTCTCATTGATTCCGAAAGGATAAATGGTTGAGAAGGCCTAATGCCCTTTAAGAAAACATGTAATGGCCTTAAAGAGATACCAAACCTAGGACATGTTTCCCTTAGCATCCCACCCGTGAGGTTAGGGATCCCGTGTCTAAGACACAAGGGGCATTTTTCTTCACTAACTTTGTCTTTGCATATGACAGGTTTTCATTTACATTCGAGGTATGATTAGTTATTCACCTTTTGCATTTAAACATCATTCTTGAGGTTAGGTACATTCCATGCATTTTGTATCTTCACTTTCAACCCCATGCATAAAAAAAAAAGTAAAAAAAAAAAAGAAGAAAAAGAAGAAGAAGAGTTCATGATTGTTTCGCATGTCATATGTCCATCCTACTCATTTCACATTAAATCTTCCACATGTCTTGAAAATTTCACATGTCATATGCATTGCAAAATATATTTTCATGTTCATCTCATGTGGCATTCTCCATTTTGTTCATTTTAAATTTCATTTTCATCTCATGTTTCACAAAAAAATTGCAAAAAAAAGTAAAATTCCACCCATGTTTAGTACACTACATCTTC